CGCGGGATATATTTCCTTGATTTGTTTGTCTGTTCAGCTGTGCGAGGCTGTGATTGAAACAACCAAGAAGTATAGACCGCCATTCTTTCCATCAAGCTAAGGCTTCGCTCATCCGAACCGGGGACGATGACTGCTATGTGGAGTGGCTTGGTGTTTAAAATTGCAATCCTAAGTGCAAAAAGAAGTTACCGCAGACTATATTGTTAAAGGTTGATTTCAACTGGCAGGCTCTGGCTACAACCACCTTAATATTCATTCAACATTGTTTGCATTTCTACTTACCCGTGATCGCTTCATTTGCCAAACACGTTAGTGGCCGGTCACCTTACCAATGAAACTAATGTGCTGGTGTCTCCGGCGAAGAATTCCCTCAGGGCTACAGGCAATGCACAACCCAGTTTGTAGCCCGTTGTGACTGAAAGCTTTCACACTGGGGAAACGTTGTTGTCACAAACGCAGTCACAGAATGCGATAGGATTGAGGGAACAGGGGGATTGTCCAAGTTGACTAACTGCATGAGCATATGTTTCTATCGCCACCGTGTTTCCTCCACGCAGGCGACGGAGAAAACGATATAGAGACTCCTCGCGCTTGCCAATGCCAAGTTTCTCTAAAACGTCGAAATACGAGACGCCGAACAGCGAAGTGTCGATATTGCCGGAGAGAGCGGCAGGACAACGATCTGCGCAGGATCGCGGCTTCGCCACTCTTATGCGACGGTGTCTTCGGTTTCCGCTCTCTGCAGCTTCCACCGGGACGCTAGCCGTGCCTAATTGTGCTAGCTTTGAGCACCACAGTTCATAGGGTTCACAGCGCCCGAGCAAAAGCTCGCGCAAAAGAACCGGCGAGCAGTCGAGTCGTTTCCAATCGACGGGGTGGCTAAACGCCGGTTGTGTGAATCGGGCTTAACGCCTGAGCCGGCTTGCTCAAAGCAAATCTAACGTTCTTGAATGTCATGTAATAAAAATCTGAGACGTGCTACATTCTATACAAACTTGATAAAAAAAAAATCAAACACTCACCTTCGGCTACTACGTCCGCCGTACCGCTTCAAGGCAGAAGCAACATGGCGGCGCTCGACGTTTTGGGGTGTTGGGCTGGGGTGTTTTCAGTGTTGCTTACACGCCTAGTCGTGTAAACCGAAACCGAAACACCAATTTTTACTACCCCAAGTAATTTTTTGACGATTTATCACTAGCAGAGCGTGTAAAAATATGCTAACGAGTGAAAATGGGGTGTAAACAGGCGAAATATTACATTTTCGCTAACAGTGTACAAGTCAATAAAATAGTTAATGTAAGTGTGCCTGACGGCAAAGAAAGTTATCGGGGTTTTCTTGGCTCAACTGCAAAACCTGTGCGTTTTTTTCCTGTAGACTTTGATGCGTACTTTAGCTGTTTAATATGTTATATCGCACCGTCATCAACCCTCCTCCAAAAGTTGGGGCCGTCTGCTCGACGTCAGTGCGCTGTACATCCAACTGAAGTTTTGGGGTGTCGTATATGTGACAAGGGGTGTAACGCCTACACCCCTTTTTTTTTAGAGTGCACTGACTTCGCAGAAACGTTTAAGCGCGTGAGCGACTTGAACAATACTCTCACGGTTGGAACAATACACTGCAATATCATCAGAATATGCTAACACTTCAACTTCGGTCGCATGAAGCTTAAAACCACTGATAGTACTGTTTAAAAATACTAATGCTAAGGTATTCCATGTAAATGCAAAAAAGAAGTGGCGACAAAGGACACCCTTGGCGGACGGATTGATTCACTTTTATACGTTTTTCAAACGACTTGTTCACCATAAGTCTCCCCCTTGGCATCTAGGAGATAGTTGCGCGTGTTTCGGGAAATTCGTTTGTTCCAGACGTAGAAGAAGATAAAGTATATAAAAATGAGCTGTGAGTTAGCGCGGTTCGTTTGATTTTCCTTTCGTTTCGTGTGTAAGGAGGGAGTATACGGTGTGAGTGTACTTTTGCGGTCGTGCGCTGTGGTGAGTGTTAATATGTTTTCAATGAATTGGTAACTGCCACATGAGATTACGGTTCCGTTCCTGTTCGGGTTCAATAGGGAGTTTTAGTAGATCGTTCCGATACCTCCGATAGCCCCGATAACGATACTATGCATGCACAAGGGCGGCGGCGGCGAAGTATCGAGATATCGTTATCGGAGTCACGGGAACGATCTACTAAAACTCTCTAATATCAAATGTTTGATTTCGCTTACAGTCTTGTTCCGGCTCCGATAAAAATAACGGCCTTTCTTCAGTTTTCTTTCCTGTTCGACGCCCTGAGTAACAGCTACATGCTAATCGCGCATGATTACAACAGCCGCTTTGTGGCGTCTCGCGGCGCCAGGAAAGACACCTTGTTCCTCTATACCTGTTCAGTTTTAGTAGTTTCACTGATGGCGCACCATTTTAATCCTCGACAGAGCATACACCAGCGAGAAAATCAAGCCATCAGACACTTCCAGTGCAATGATGCTGTTTCAAGAGCCACTTACCAAGCCCTAACAAATTGCGCCGTTAGCCTTTAGGCCCTAAATGAAAATCAACACAACTTGCATAAGAATTGAGTCAATTCCATTCCGACTCCATTCCGAGCAAAAGGCATCTAATTCCATTCCCATTCCATTCCTCCAGCGCTCCTGCCATTCCATTCCCATTCCATTCCAGGGTCGCGAAAGTGCGGAATGATTCCGGAATCATTCCAATTCCGGAGTGGCAACTCCGCAACACTGATTTCCAACCCCTCTGTCTCGAACCGCTGCATCTTAAGGAAGGTGCTATGGAAAAAAAATTGTATTGGAGAAAAAACAATTGGAAATGTCGGAATGTGTGGTCCTCCATCATGACAATTCTCAGGTTCCTCGTATGATATGTCTTATAAAATTTTATCTAAGAAAACAGTTTACGACTGGCATACTCCGTGGTCCCCTAACCTTACGCCCAGCAATGTTTGGCGGTTTCGACAATGAAGGACTTCGGGGTCATGCATTTTCAACGCGCTCCGCCATTGCGTCAGCGATAACAAACCGATGTCGACAGACGTCATGCCATAACATCGACGTCGCTAAAATGTATAGAACTATAGAGTGACTATATTAAAAAAAGGTAAAAATTTAGTGCTTTCTGTTACATACTTTCTTTTATAAATAAATTCGTAGATCTTACTCACTGAATGCCCTTTTACCTTTTCAAGCTTTATCGCTTTTTGCCACCTTTGTTGCCACAGTTCTATGGTTTCAATGTTTGCCCCATTTTCATGTTTTGGCGCGTTTTTTTCTTCTATAAATTCTAATATTGGGGGAAGGGCGCTAAGCAACCTTGCAGACAAGTATTATTTAAAAAATTCTTAATGACAAATATTCTGCGTACTTTAAAGCGGTGGCCATGGTTAGTCCTCTGGATATTTCTCGGACATATTTGAGCCTTGCCAAAAAGACATCGTGGATTGCTGAGATTGAAACCTATGAATGAGTCCACGATCCCACCTATATAACAATAGGCAGATTTCACCGCACATAGTTGATACAAGGGTGCTCTAGACTAGCTGAAATATACTCTTAGATAACATGGAGATCCCGGTACTGATGATCTTTCAAGTGTCATAGCGCCCAAAAAATCTGAGGCACGATGTTACTCAATATTAAAAGTTCACAGACTGCTGTGGATAGCTAAAATAAACGAGCTCAGTGACGCTCGACGTGCTCGAGGTCATGACTCGTGGTACTTTACACGCTGTCAATCTGGAATGTTATATTCGATCATCTTTCCGACCCATCGTGGAACCCATCGTACGCTCTTTCTTACGTGCGTCATACTAAGTTAAGTTGCCCTCAGATACGACCGCGATTTCTTTCAGATTCACATAATGCGATTTTACTTGCATTTTTGCGGTTGCGACGTCAATCGAGAGGCCAAAAAAGCGTGGCGGAAGCTGCGGTGCTTGACGTCCTAACTGAGATGTCAAGTAAAATCAGATTGTGTGAATCAGACTTTACTGGGATAGCCGTTTTGGTATGTCCCGTATCCTGCACGTTGGCTAACACGGATCTTGGTTAACACATGGTTAACACGCACCTTATAAACACCTATTCCCTGGTATCTCTAGACGCTTTTATTATACATTTTTTTATTCAAATGTTTTTTATTAATTTGCATAATATACCTTACCGGCCTCTTTGACTGCATTTGAGTGGATGCGACAGTAACGCATAGAATCGAGTTAGCTTATCGAATCGTGCCATGTAAATGTAAAGTGCATCGAATCGAGTCCGATCCAATCCATATGAAAGAGGTCGTTTAAGAATTTCAAGCTGAATCGAGATCTATAATAAAACCCTCGAGTATCAAATCGACTGCCTGAAAGTCGGGGAATGAGGCAGAGGGAGCGAGGGGTGAAAGGCTAAGATGGCCTTCCAGCTTCAAACCACTTCCCCCTACCAACACCTACTAGATGAGATAGCCTGAGTGCTGAATTTTCCTGCGTCACTAAAGGCCACCTTAGGCCACAGATTCTGACACGACTACGGTGTCAGCGTTCGGCTGGAACTCGTGTCCAGTCAGTGAGACCTCGACTCCTAGCCGAACGCTGACGTCGTAGTCGTGTCCAACCTTCGCCCTACGGTGGCCTACGGTGGGCTTTAGTGAAGCAGGAAATAAAATATAGGCTTTCTTGTCTAAGTGTTGCCCCTACCCGCCTTGTGATACCGTTCAGACTGAGTTGTCGCCCGCCCGTCGCCCACCCACCCCCATGTTGTCGTCTCGATCTTCGGCACGCTGGGCAACCGGTAAACAGTGCAGACCACGTGGTTCCGTTGTAATCACTCGATACGAGGTGTCGCCACCGGTCGATTCGAATCCACTTAAACGCAGTGTTTAAAATGAATTCGATGCGCTAAATCAGTTCGATGCGCTATATTCGCATCCATGTAAACGCAGCCATCGTCTTTCATGGTCATGTAGTTACGCATTACTCATTATCCTGGTTTTAGGTTCCGGAGGGCCTTCATTGCGCTGATTATTATAAAAAAAATGTCACCAAGCCTGTTGTGGTCAATATAAAATCATTTCGTTATTCAGCACGAGTATGGAATACGGTAACAAGGCAACACAGTCTGATCAAAGTGAGTATCGAGTTGATTATAATAAAAGAATATACTGATCATGGTGTTTACCACCAAGATTGGGGAAATAGAGTCTGCTAATTGTTCTACTTATTCTACTTTTACCAGAAACGCGAGCATTCGACGCATACTACTGGCACGGCCACTCGATCCCCCCTGTTGGTGCGGCCTGCCGATGTCTTTCCGAAAACAAAAGAGCGCGCGTGAGAGGAGAACTTCTCCGATTTTCCGTGGGGGCGCTGCGCATCGGTGAGCGGTCTTGTGAGCTGATAGCTATACTCTGTTTCACCCAGTGTACCGCAGGAAAGGCTGTAAGCGCGAGCTCCTTGCTCTGGGGCAGATCTCGGCGGCACAAGCTCTCGTGCAGTAAGGGCAGCTGTCAACGCTATGAGCTCGCGCTTCCAGCCTTCGCTGCGGTACAACATAAGGTGAAACGGAGTATAGAGAAGGCGCCCAACGCGCTTTTGCTGCGCTACCCAGATAAAATATCTGCCTGTCATTGGTTTCGCCGATACCGAGGCGCTGCCGCGGTTGCAGAAGGCAGCAAAACTTGCTTTCGCCCCACCTATGCACCGCTGTGCTCGGCGAAAATATCGTAGTGTTACTCTGCGCCCGCGTTTGTGGTTTGTGTTGGCATTTTGGAAGCTGCCGGAAATGTAAATGTGCGTTCTAGTTCTGAGTGCCAGACGGCCATGAAATGTGCCAACTCCCCTCAAAAAACAGGAAATCCTGCAGTTGATGAAGTACAATGAAGTCACTTCCGAACTTGAGTTCGCACCGCTGACTTACATGGCTGGCTACTTGGCCTTCGTTTTCGAACAAAAGGTGACCATTTTTATTTGTAGAAATTGTCGTAATTTCGAAGTAATTAGCTGAAACATTCAACCTAGCAAAGCAATAAGAATTTCTCAGTGAAAGCAAGGAAGGCTAATGTGTAGACCCCGCTAAACGTTGCAGGTGACGTGTCCTGAATGCAAGCGCAACTTAAGGGAAATGCATCACATGACGGAGCATATCAGTCCATGTTTAGCCTTGACCAAGGAGGACTCAGCTATCCACGACCTGAAGCTGTCTGACTGTGCAAGCTCGTCTGCGCCTTTGTCGAGAGGGCTCTACAGTAGGCAGAGATTCGTGGTTGTGGAAGGATTTGCAAGGTCCTCTCGAGCGCTGTGCTTCTACACCTTGTGGACCGCCCGCTGATGTGGTGTGTTAACTGCCAAGACTCCTACCACATGCGAAGAGCTCTACGAGCTCTTTCTCAGAAAACTCCTCAAATTTTTTTTGGCAAACTGGGCTGGTAGCTCAACAGCCCACTAGAGAATATATTGAGGCTTTCGCTGAAGCCTCTTTCCCGAAAGGTACTCCGCTTGTGAACTATATGACTCCCTTGGTGTGTTTTTTGTAAACAATGAAGTTTATATTGCTGAAGTTATGCACGCGGAATCCGATTTTATATTTTCCTTCACAAATGAATAAATGGCACAGCTCGCGCGTGCTCGAGCGTCGGTTAAAACCGGATATCATACGGCCTAGCTATATCCAACTATAACTCCTATATTACAGTGGTAATAGAAACGGGGCAACAGTTACGGGAACAAGAAAACGACAATTCGCTCATACTACCAGCAGAATTGAGCTTTAACGCGCAGCCTGCAGCTGAGTGAGCTTTTCGCAGAAAGAATCATGTGCTTTTATTCTACACAGATTTGTCACATCTTTCATGCAATCTGGCACTCGTTTCAATTGAGACTTGAGGCTTCACGAAAAAAAAAATCTAAATAGTCACACCGGGCCGGGCCGGGCGTACTGTTCCTCCCTCACTATATTTCGCCTTACCTTAGCATAGACTAACCGCGAACGCTGTGCTAGCGCGAGCGGCTAGCCTTTACTGCCTTGACTGGAGCACTCGCTGCACGAGCGCTCATGCAGCCGCCGAGGCTTCCTTCGAAGCAACTATCACGCGCTTTTAGCTCGCGCGGCTAACAAGTACATACTAACGTGAAACGAAGTATTGGCGACGTGCGCGACCGAAAGCGTCGCTGTGGTCGGCCTTCCACGATTGGTCCAAAAGCTGACTATGATGTCGGAAAGGGTATACCATCGACGGAAATAAGAGGAATGAAAGAACTTTAGTTTCGGCGGTGTTGGCAGTGTTGCTTTGAGAGTGCAATGATTCCAGGCTTCCACCGTGCTATTTACAAACACCATCGAACTTGTTGTTCGCAAGGTAATGACGTCACAAGGGGGAACCATAGGAGGGCGCCACCAAAACATCTCGCCGCTAATAGAGTTCCTCGATGTGCTCCCCCGAAAGGAACTCTATCTCTCACCGATAACGAGCGCCACGGCTGACGCTGCGGGGTAAAGTAGAACTATCGCTCTCACCGGCGGAGTGAGGCATACCGCAGGCCGTTCCCAAGGGGAGTCCTAATCGAGTGGCCGTGCTACTGGGGGCGGCTTTCCCGCAAAATTTCAAACTCTCACTACTCGCTCGGTCGGCGCAAGGGAGGAGGTTCCAACGTTAGGACATCCCTGCATGAGAGGATTGCTTGCGGAAGCTACGGGGCTGACGTCCTACTCTCTTCTAGCATGTTTAAATTCATCGGGTGCAAGCCAGTGCAACCGGGACCAAATTCAGAAGTCCGAGGAACTTCTGCGTCAGTTGAACTTTATCCCCCAATACTCGCCGTCATTTCCAAAAAATAACTGATGGACCCTAATTACCCCTGGGCAAGACATGCACACCAGTTCTTTATTTTAACATTGTATAGGGGAGTGAAAAGGCATAACAAAAAATGGTGTTACAAGTACTTGTACTCTACTTTGAATGTAGAAATTATTTTACTTCAAGTACATATCGCGCCTGGTACACAAATTACTTTACGTGAAGTACATAACATCTCATGTACTTTATACTATGCTGCAAGTACTTTTTAGAAGCATACGTACGCATAAAACACTGATCTTCGTCACAATCGCAACTGAAAGAGATTAAGCAAAAACTGTACATTGAAGACCACATTCCAGGCTGCCGTTGACTTGCGAAAGAGACAGTTCCCAATAAAATACTAGACTACAGGCTCATTACCGTCATTCGTACTGGAAATTTTAAGATGCTATATAAGCCACCAGGTGGCACTGAATTTCTGAAAGGGCCTATTTACTCTTGTATTCACTGCTGCATGATCTTGGAAGAATCGTCACATGCCTATTCAAAGGTACAGCTATACAGATTACCATGCAGCAAAAACCACGCTTCGAGGGTGGTGATACACGCGTGCTGGCGTCTACGTATCAAAACGTACACCCCAAGCTGCTTTCTAAATAAAGACCAAGGTACTGTTGTCGTGATACTCAAATTAGCCAGCATGTAATCACGCAACCTACTAGAGTACACGTCCGTTTTCCATTCGCTTACGGCGGCGATTGATTGAGCCAACGAGACACCAAGCAACAAAGCACCGAGCGACCAAGTTAACACTGCTTACTCGAGCGTCTGCAAAGAAAGAATTTAGAAAAGGCGAACAGTAGGCATAAAGACACCATCAAGTGGTTACCCGGGAAAAAGAAGCACCGTGAAACTACACTGGTAGTGGCGTTAGAGTGTACTAGAAAGGACCAGTGGGGCCACCCGAGTGCTATTTCGGTACCTCCGCATGTGGAAAAAAAGGGCTAATCCAAGCCACTTCGCGCGTAGCGTCCCCTCGCGCGCTGCAAGGGAAGTGGTTCGCATTAGCCCTTTTTTATGAAAAACGCGTTTCGTTCCAACGCCAAGCTCGACCGGCACACTGGTCAAGGTCATAGGAAGGATAGAACGCCGGACTATGTTTTTTTTACAACCTAGACGTCAGGCGTCACGTACATAAAGTCACCACGACCTGACTTGTTGTCACAACGCCATGCGACATCAGGACGACGCCTTGACGTCAACGTCGTCATCGACGTTGATAACGTGCGTTAGACGACATCAAGACTGCGTTCTGACGTCATATTGCGTTGGCAACGACGACGATGTCAAGGTTGACGTTGATGACGACGACGACAACGTCACGGGACGTCAAAATGACGGTGTCCTTGTCAATGCAACGTCATAAGGACGCTTTGTGTCAGTTCGTTGACGTCGTTACTGACATGACGCAACTCAATGTCACAAAGACGTCCCGACAGCTTCACGACGTCGACGTCATCGTCGACGACGTTACACGACGTCAAGACTTCGTCGTGACTGCGCGTCGACGTTGATGCTGGCGAAGGCGATGACGTTACACGCCGTCAAGGCTTCTTCGTGACGTTGACGTTCACGATGACGTCAGGACGACGTTAAAGTGACGTCATAGCGATGTTTGACGTTGCGTGGGGCGTCGACGACCACGTCTACGTCGTCATCGATGTGGTGCGCGACGTCATGGCCCCGTCAAAACGGCGACTTGATGCCGCGTAGCGGCGTCGTCTTCAACGCAAATCGATGTCCCGACGGCCTTGCGACAGCATTTTGGCACCGCGTGACGTCATCGACGACGACGTCGTGGTGTCGTGGTGCTTTGACGTTACCTCTGACGTCAAAATCATAAAAAATACAATATATATCCTAATGGGCTATATTGCCCGTATGACCTCGACCTGTGTCGTTGCTTGATCGCAGCGTAGGTGGCGCTGCGGTCGAAGTGGCTTGGTTCCACCTGATCGCTTTCCACATTTTGAGGTACAGCTGAAAGCATGAGCGGAGCCTGTAGCTCGTCCCACTCGTTCCTTCTAGCACACTCTAGTGGCGCCTACATGCGTACTGCCCTGCGGTGCACTCAAAAAAACTATGACTGATATTAAATAACGCAACTTGACTCCTATTAACCTATATTCCTTCGTTTTTCGCAGGGGCGAATCGATGTCAATAAAAAGCTTTGGAGGTTGGAGTACACACCCTGGAACACGAATGATTCGAAATCCCGGAAACGGAAGGATCTGAAGCCGCTGACCATTATTGTAGATGCTTCGAACGGTAGGTTGTTTTTTGTGTATAAAATAATTATATATACTGTATACGACTTATTTTTCTTGGCTCCATATTTCGCAATCTATAGGTTAAAGCTAAAATTTTTGAATAATTCGCGGGTTTCAATTTTTGCGAAGCGGTGGGATGTCAATATAGATTCGAATGTGTTTACATATTACCGGAATCGTTCGCGGGACCTATTTTTCGCGAATTGAAGGCGAATCGCGAAATTCGCGAAAATTAGGACCTCGCGAAAATTAAGTCTTTCACAGCATATATGTTGAACCAGGAACTCCAACCGTAAAAGTAACCGGAACCTAACACCGCTTAAGAGTGAATAGTTTAAGCTATCTGTAACCGAAACGAAACCGATATTTTAAATGGGCATGAATCAGAACTGGAATGAGACCTGTTATAAATTAACCGGTAACCCATATATTAAATCTTTTCAGCACCATTGTAACAAGTAACGAATTGACACCTTAAAGCCGGGGTCGCAGTGCTTAGACACAATACAAAAGATAGTCTGCAAACACGAGTCACCGCAATATCCGTGGTTCGAATGCCACGTGCAAAGTTTCTGCTTGAACTCACTGCCGTGCGGCATTCGAAGCACGGATCTCGTGGTGGCTTGCGTTCGAATCTGTATGCAGACTGTATTCTGAATGATGTATAAGCAATGTTTCCCCGACTCTGGGCATGGGTACACACATCGTCGGCGAATGGGGCTTCTTAGTTAAAAAATTAAGGGGTCTATACTATGTTTTTTCTAGTGAACTCGATTTTAGAAAGGTATTTTATGCGTGACACAGCTTGTTAAACTTTATAATGATATGGTTTCAGCTGCTTGGAGGGGAGGTGAAACGCATGCTATTTTTATGGAACTCCGTAAAGCCTTTGAAAGTGTTTCAGCCTTTGTTTCTGTATCCATTAGGTTCCCTCAATTTTAATCAAATCTTCAATTTTTACAATAGACATAAACTATTTAAAATGAAGCAATCTGTCCTCATAAATATTTAAAAAAATCTTGTCGTGACATCTGGTGTGCCAACGTGGTCAGTCTTTCGACGTCTTTTATTGCTGGTGTTTATCGATAAAAACATGGTAGACATTAGCTCGTCTGAGGGGTTGTTTGGAGATGATTGTGTTTTATGTGGCACAATGGACGGTGTTGGTAATCCTATTCTTTTACAATCAGGCCGAGATAGAATCTCTAAATGGTACAAATACTGGCAATTGGAGATTAGCGCTGAGACGTGTGTCCACGTTACTTTGAAGTGAAACGTGCTATTTTGTCGATAACAAAACAATCCTTGGAGAAAGGGAGCAAGGGGGGCAAAGGACAAACACTAATCTCCAAACACAGCTAGGTAACTGGTGCGCGACCGAAAAAATCTGCCTGGTCCTCGTATCGAACCAGGGACCTCTGCATTTCCAGTGAAGCGCTCTACCGACTAGGCTAACCAGGGGTTAGACGTCAGTAGAGCAAACTGGTTTTAACAGCTGCCACCAGTCTAACACCAACAAGGGTGAACGGCCTGTACTTTCAAATTATGATGATAATGCAATTAATGCAACGGTGCAAACGACTTGGACAAGAATATATAATAATAATAATCCCTGGAGAAGGGGAACAAGGGGGACAATCCACAACCCGTTTGCTCTACAGACGTCTAACTCCTGGCTAGTTCAGTTGGTAGGTCACTCCACAGCAAATGGAGAGGTCGCTTGTTCCATACCAGAAGATGGCGGATTTTTTTGGGTCGCGCACGAGTTACCTAGCTGTGTTTGGAGATTTTTGTTTGACGTGCAATATTTTTTATGTTATCTTTAAGTGCCCTGATGTGAATGAGGAAATATTGCTATTTGGAATAACCGAACTATGCGAAAAGTCGCATAAATCAATCGACATAAATCAAAGAAAACCTATGTCCCACCAGCAACAACGGTTATTTTATTCTTTTCTCGCACAATCACCGAGCGGAGTGCAATGCCTAAGACTGCCATCATAAGCATTAACATGCTATGGCCTCTTTGAGGATTGATTTTGATTTTTAACTCGTTTTTTTACTTTATTTTGTTCTCTATTAACAACCTTAACGGTTGTTAACATCCTTAAATTAACGGCTTTCCTCAATTTTTGGGTCGATAAAAAGATAGCCAGATAAATAAAAAAATAAAAGAAACTAAATCCGTCAGAAGTTATAAAATATTGCTCAATATGTTTAATAGTATATCTTGATTTAATTTTTTTTTCTCATTTTTTAAGAGCGTTGCCTGAGCACTATTCACGCAATTTTCTTCGCGATGTGAGTAGCTGGTGCGGCTTGGCTAACTGTAAAAATAAGAGCACAAACATCCAACGAATAAATAGCTTGAAACGAACGGCGCGCGACCTGCTTGTCCATATTTTGCACCCTAAAAAGCTATTTTAGGCTCTTTTGTCTATACGAAAGAGTTCTTCATCGTAGTGCGGACCAGTGTTGCGGAGTTGCCACTCCGGAGTTGGAATGATTCCGGAATCATTCCACATTTTCGCGACCCCGGAATGGAATGGGAATGGAATGGCGGCAACGTTCAGGGGAATGGAATGGGAATGGAATTAGATGCCTTTTGCCCTGAATTGAATGGGAATGGGCCAGGTTCTTTATATTTTATTTATTTATTATTGTTCTTTTAACGTTCAACTATTCCGAGCCAGTCAGGGAGTCGGTTGTTCAGAAATAAAATGAGCGGGAAACTGCGAACCCGCGTAAGGCCCTAACAGACTCATACGAAAAAAATGCAATACAAAAAACAAGCGTCAAAGCAAAAACAGAGGGGGGGAGGGGGGGGGGGGGGCGGTGGCATCTTTCACCAGTGAAGTTCAACACATATCCGAATGCGTCTGCGCCTGTAATATTGCACGGCTCAAACGTACGACATCAGCCGACGTGAACGTGACCCGCTGCTCTGGTGATCCCATACCCGGGAACGAGGCCTGACATGGCCTCGCTGTGCGGACCCAGACTTTATACACCTGCAAGTTGCGACTCGTCTCAAACGCGCTGTTTCTCGGAGAGCCCGCACCTGTGCCGGCCATCTCAGGTCGCAATCCACGAGGTCTCTGTTTGAATGATGCTAGGCGAAACCTGAAGACTGCCATTCATGCGTTGGAGGCGGAGAGTCGGCAGGAAGGACCGTCACAACAGGAATGCCACCGTATCGATTTTTCAACCGTAACAGAAGATAAGACATGTGCTTCAGAATGCTTCAGGTGGTCCACTTTTCTCGAAAATTCCAAATGCAACTGCCTGCATGGTCTTCAACGAGGTCACCTACAACAAAACTACGTATTGTCCTTTCATACCGCAGCGTGGGTAAAGTTTCATGTTCAAGGCAACACCTACAGATTCAAGAATACTAGTTCATCCCACCGTGAAGTCATGTGATCAGTGCTGACAGGGGCGCCCTTATTGAACAGGGAAGTGGTGATGTTTTGATGGAATTTATTTAGAGGTAGAAGTCTTTTCGCATCACTGGTCAGTCAGACAGGATTCCGGGGAAGGGACCGCGGTCAATCCTCGATGGAACGTTTTTTTAAACCCATTGAGGACTCTTCGTCCGAAACCACTACCTTCAAGTCGAAGTGCCAAGCCTGCAAAAAAATAATTTCGGGACCAAAAAAAAAAAACAAAAAAACTTCCACTTCAAACCTAAAGCCTCATCTCAGTTGGCGTCTCAAAGAAATTTGAAACAATCCCTTACAAAATTTTTTAATGAATTTCATTTGACAGTTTATGGAGTCTACTCATTATATCTTTTCGAGTCTCAATAGAAATACAAACGAGTTTTGTAACGTGTCCGTAAGGAGTTTACGAAAACTATTGGCCACCGCGTTCCAATTGATGTTTCGACAAAGCTACCGCATAAAGTTTCCAATGTATTTCATATGAATATAATTTGAAAGTCTATTGACACCGTTTCGAGACTGTGTTGAAAAACAATTGATTTTTTGTAACGAGTCCCTAAGGAGTGTACGAAAACTATTGGCCACCGCGTTTCAATTAAGGTTTTGCCGTACCACCTCATAAGAATTTCTAATAGATTTCATTTGAAAGTCTAGATACACTGCTTTGAGTCTCTGTTGAAAATCAAATGTTTTTTTTTCTTGAAGTTTTGACGTGCCATCTCATTAGGTATATTCCGACGAGTCGGAATATACCTAATGAGATGGCCCATCAAAACCTGAATTGTAACGCTGTAGAAAATAACATTTGATTTTATACAGAGACTCAAAGCAGTGTATCTAGACTTTCAAATGAAATGTATTAGAAATTATACTCCTAGCATGGGTTTCTAGATGGACGGCTCTAAGGGGGAAGACGGCAATAGGTTGCATAACATGTGGTCCGGATCTAACCGTTGTTTTGAGGGAAGGGGAAAGTGAGTGCAAGTGTCACTTATATGTATGCCTATATACGCATGCAAGGTTCGGAAAATGCCTGCATAAAACCGTGGGAAGGAGTAATAACTGGTTTAATAAAAATGCAAAATTCGAGTATACGGTACACTGCCTTCGTGTCCATAGGAGACCTTGTACTGCCTTCGTGTCCATGGGAGACCTTGTATTGCCTTCGTGTCCATGGGAGACCTTGTATTGCCTTCATGTCCATGGGAGACCTTGTACTGGTAACCTATAAAGAAAAAAGATGCACAGTTACACGTTGATCTGCTTATCTAAACTTCAATGTCCGCGCAAGGTATCCTGATCACAGCGCAGCACTACCTCAGCGCTGGATCAGTATTACAAACTGGGACATCAGTCCTTTATGAAAGGAGGACCCTCAGAACACACGATACAAGCCATGGAAGTAGCAGTTACTCGTTGCTTTAACAGGACTGAGTTAGCGCTGCACTGTATGTGTGAACCAGCCTTAAATGCAGAAAGTCACATTCAAAATTTCTACATTTTTGCTCACCCAGGCACTTAATTTACACACTACCTTGATAGTTTAATGAGTGGC